GGATGACGCATCCTGCCCGGGCACTGAGATGGTTTGAAGAAAATTAGCAGATCAGGCTGAGCAAAAATGCACATTTGGGTTCATCTGTATGTTCCTGGTTTTGGTTCTCTGAAGCTGTTTCACTGTAGACTTTGTTCAATCAAGTTTTAACACAAAACATATTAAAGTCGAGCAGTCATTATCCAAATCAACATCAGTGCATTTATCCTACAACAGTTCAGTCCGGATCACTGATAAGAGGATCCGTTCTGCAGCTGTACACATATCTACGACTGTATTTGGATAAATTCTGTCCGTGATTGGAGGTTATGGATGTTATCTGACTGCAGGCATGACTCACAGACACACGAGACCATTACTCCAATGGGTGTCCTTTATTATTTTTCATCCCCGCCCTCACAACAACCCAGCACAAAGGTTCCTACCTCTTAACATTTACCTGATGCTACATCCGCCCTACTAAACAGGATGTGATGCTGGGATATAACCAAGAAAACAGATTAGACCCTCATGCTGTATATACTACTGCCTTATGCTTTATCTGGTAACAGCTTGTTTACTGAACTCCTTTGGTTTCAAACCCAGACTTCTCAGAATGTCCAAAAATAAACTGTAAGTATACAACTCTGAACACCAAGCATAAGTGCGCATTTCTGAACTATTTGGTGCAGCTACAAACTTTGTGTTTGGTTTCTTTGTGTTTAGTCCTCTCACGGCAGCAAGTGTCACAGTTACAGGTCCGAGCTGTCCGAGCTCAGTTCAGCCCTGACCAAACAGATTGTTTAGCTCTCTCTCTGCATTTTGTTGTTCCTAGATGTTTCTCATAGTTTAGACAGAATGTCTGCTCTGAATGACGTGGGAATCACTATTCTGCTCCCACGAAGAAGCAAACACTGTGGACTGTGAGGTCACCTGGCATACGGCTGGGAAACCCTTTCAGTGGAGTTCTTATCTGGCCATCCTTCCACACAGAACTTCTTCAGCTGGCTTTTAATGCCGTCATTGCCCTGATGTGTCTGGATTTCTCTGAGTCGTGGCTCTGTGGCTGGCAGGCTCGCCATGACGGACTCCACATACAAGTGGATTTCTTCCTCCGCAAACCCTCAGTTGTGTCACATACAGGAGCTCTGGACAGTACATCTGCTGTTGCAGTGTCTCTACCAGTGTAGGGAGTAACTATGTTATTATTGCGGTAACGAGCATGGTAACTAGTTATTATGCATGTGACGCTGTGGCGTAGGCTAGAGTCATGGCGGCTGTTGGTAGGTGGCACAGTGCACGTGTGGCAGGATAGTGCTAACATGTAAGCAAGCTAGAAGACTGGCATCCTTGCTGGGTATCCAGTGTGGGAAGCAACACATTAACAAGAGAATTCAGAGTAAAACCAAAGTTACTTT